TGTAACACCCCGGGTTATGACAGTGCAAGGATCTCAGCTACAGATATGATGTGGAGAGTTTTCTCCTACAGATCAGATATTCTATATGTCAAGTAATGGGTAGCAGTATAATGCAAACAGTTCAGGCATCTACCCAGGCTTGCAATCAAATGTTAAGTACTTGAGTATCGGAAGTGTATCAATGGCAGACTCTTTTTATAACACAGTGGATAGTAGTTACTAGCGTTTGGGAAATGTTTCACAAGGCAGTCTCCTTGATAACACAGTGAATAATAACCACCGGCGTATTGGGAAGTGTTTCACAAGGCAGTCTCTTTGATAACACATTAGAAGTAGACAAGCACTTGCATTTGGGAAGTGGTTCACAGGCAGTCTTGAACAGGATCTTTCTCCAGGTAGCCTTAGTTCAAAGCCTCGAGTCCTTTGCAGGGCTAGCAGAGCTTGTTAGGTGTGTAATACAGCCCATGCAATTAAAGTGACATTAAACCCTCAGATTTTTTTAACATAAAACAATACTGTAATGTGTGCCTTACTGTAATCCATGGTTGTTTCCCTTCTCTTTGATGCTCTTCCTTTTAAATATGTATCTGTTCTCATGCTTGGAGAGAACTTCCCTTTTCAGCAGACTGCCTTGTCTCACACGGTGTCTGTGTATAGGCTGTAACCTGAGCCAGCACTACAGGAAGAGGCCCTGAGCTGAAAAGGGAAGTTCTCTCCAAGCATGAGAACAGATACATATTTAAAAGGAAGAGCAGCTAAGAGAAGGGAAACAACCATGGATTACAGTAAGGCACACATTACACTATTATTTTATGTTAAAAAATCTGAGGGTTTAATGTCACTTCAAGCTTGTCCAGGATGATGTGGGGAAAGATGCAACAGTGACACTCGTTTGAAGTCTCAAGGAAAATGTCAAACCTAACTTAGAAAATAAAGGAGGAAAAGATATCTGGTGATGGTATCAAATCACATCCACTGTGGAAAGGTTGCCTTTGAAGGTAAGCTGCCTGACGGTGTCAGGAATGAGGTTCAACGTGCAGGATTAGGAGGGGTATTTCCCAGTGTCTTCTCCCTTGCTCGAACGCCGGGCAATTGATCTTCCCGCCTTAAGCCAACAGTGGAGGCGGGGCCTGATTACATCACGGATGGCAAGGCGGAACCCTGCACTGATCCGTGAACGAAGGACAAGTGAGTTCATTACACCTAGATACTGTATTTATATATTTATTTACGTATATATATATATTTTTTATTACTATAATAATTATTGTTCTGTAGGGAATTGTGTTCTGTAGGGAATTCGGGAGTACAACAAAAAAAAAATCACTATAGTGTCCAGTCCAATGCTAGTGTTAGGTTACCAGGTTTACACAACCCCAATTCCCAAAAAGTTGGGAGATCTGCATAAAACAGAACTCATATTTTATTCACATTAGAATCAAATGTTTAAACTTGGAAAATGTACCATTTTAAGAAAAAAATAAGGTAATTTTAAAATTGATGGCAGCAACACATCTCAAAAAAAGTTGGGACAGGGCTATATTTAACACAGTGTAACATCCCCTCTTCTTTAACAACTGTAAACGTCGGGGAACAGAGACGACCAGTTGCTGGAGTTATGGGAGAGGATTGTTGTCCCATTCTTGCCTGATATAGGATTCTAACTACTCAACAGTCCTGGTTGTTCTTTGTCGTATTTTTCATTTCAAGATGTGCCAAATATTTTCAATTGGTAAAGGATCTGGACTGCAGGCAGGCCAGTTAAGCACCCAGACTCTTCTACTACAAAACCATGCTGTTGTCATAGGTGCAGTATGCGGTTTAGCTTTGTCCTGCTGAAATATGCAAGGCCTTCCCTGAAAAAGATGTCATCTGGATGGGAGCCTATGCTGTTCTAAAACCTGGATATATCTTTCAGCATTGATGGTGTCTTTCCAGATGTGTTTCCATACTCACTAATGCACCCCCATACCATCATAGATGCAGGCTTTTGAACTGTGTTTTACTCCAGAGGAAACTGCTCCCATGGTTGCCAAAATGTCAAATTTCGATTTGTGTGACCACAGTGTAGTTTTCCACTTTGCAAGGGACCATTTTAAATGAGCTATGGCTCAAAGAAGATGGTGGCATTTCTGGATCCTGTTCAGATATGGCTTCTTTTCATGATAGAGCTTTATCTGGAATCTTTGGATGGCACGGTGAACTATGTTGACAGACAGTGATTTTTGGAAGTATTCCTGTTTTTAATGGAGTGCCATCAATATTGGCCCATTCAATATTGCGTTTCGGTCTTGTCCCTTGTGCACAGAAATTTCTCCAGATTCTTTGAATCTTTTGATTATGATATATTTAAGATCTTTGTAATTTTACATTGAGGAACATTATTCTGAAATTGTTGAACAATTTTTAGACACAGCTTTACACAGAGTGGTGAACCTCTGCCCATCTTTACTTTTAATACACTGATTCTCTAAGATGCTCTTTTTATAACCAATCATGTTACTGACCTGTTGCCAATTAACCTAATTAGTTGCAAACTGTTCTTCCAGCTCTTCCGTGTTAGTACCACTTGCTTTGTCAGCTTTTTGTTGCCCTGTCCTACCTTTTTTGAGACATGTTGCTGCCATCTCAAAATTTCCTTTTTTTTTTTAATGGTATATTTTCTCAGTTTAAACATTTGATATGTTTTCTATTGTGAATAAAATATGGGTTTATGAGCTAAAGATATTCATGCAGTAAATTG